AAATTTTGAGCGACTGAACTTCAAAACTTGAACCTTGAACACAACAACTGTCCTGATTTAATTTTACACAGAGGCGAAGCCAAGCTTCGCGTCACTTGCGAAATCACAAAAATAGCATTGCAAGCTAGCAGACAGGAAAGGAACGGAGAGCCACTACGAAAAATCAAAATGCAGCATCTAGAACGATATTCTATTTGCGGTAAACGCATCCAGAAACACATTCGATGGCTTTAAATGAAAATTCAAACACAACTATCAAGCGAAAATAAAACTATTGTCACGAACTATTTCGAACTGTAGATTCTATTAGCGTGTAACGCACCTCCGGTGCTTCGAGTTTTCAACAAATTATAAAAAAAACCGCAGTCATTGGAAATAAGATCTGCAGCCTTTGAGTGTACTCAGACAGCACCCAATTACAGAGATGGTAATTTCGAATTTTGTTTAGAAAAAAAACTTTTAAGTTTTTTTTTTTACTTATACTTTGAAAAGTCATAAAACTGTGAAGTTCTTTGAAGCATTTTAAAATGACATCAAAAAACGCCACATCTCAGAAACTAAAAGCAAATGAGCAATCGATTTGGAATGCAAAGTTTGTAACTCCTCAGAGTATTCTCACGGTACCCAACTACAGCGTTGGGAATTTCAAATTTTGAGAAACTTCGAACTTAAACTTTTTGAAAAAACCATAAAAAAACATGACTCAAAAACACAAAGAATTGAGCAGTCATATTTGGAGTCACAATTCGCAACCTATGAGAGTACTCTGACAGCCCCCGACTACAGGGCTAGGAATTTCAAAAAAAATAATAAAAAATTTAAGTTTTCTGTAAAATTTTTGAAAAATTCACAAATAACATCATATATGGAAACTACATAGATTTGAACAGTCACATTTGGGGGCAAAATTTGCAATCCCTGAGAGTACTTCGACACTGGGTTGGGAGCTTCAAATTCGAGAAAAAAAAATAATGTTTTCTGAAACTTTAGAAAAAATCACAATATAGGTCATATCTCAAAAACTACAAAGATTTGTGCCGTCAGATTTGGAGGCCAAATTAGCAACTACTGGAAGTGCAATGGAAGAGCCTCAATATAAATGTGAACTTCAAGTTTTGTAAAATTATTCATACCTAAGTTCTTCGAACAATTTTAAAAAAGACACAACAAACGTCACATCTCGGAAACTAAGAGCATTTGAGCCATCGCATTTGGACACAATATTTGCAACATGCAGCTCGTGAGAGCATTTTTCCAGTACGAAAACACCAATTTGAGATTTTCGAGTATTATGAATTTTTTTAAATCCAAATTTTCTAAAAAAAATTATAAAGAAACCATAAAACACGTCATATCTCGAAAACTACAATGATTTGAGCAATCATATTTGGAGGCAAGATTTGCAACTCCTGAGATACTGAGAGTACTCTGACAGCCCCCAGTACAAAAATGTACATTTCAAAATTTGAAGAAAAAAAATTAAATTTAGTTGGCTTGAAAATTTTGTGAAAATTACAAAAAAACGTCATATCTTGGAAACTACAAGGATTTGAGCAGTTATTTTGTGGCTTAATTCACACTTCCTGGGAGTAACCAGAAAAAACTTCACTATAGAAATGGAAACTCCAAATTTTGTGAAATTTTTTATATCTAAGTTCTTTGAAAAACTTCGAAAAAACCTTAAAAAGGGTCATATCTCGATAACTATAAAAATTTGAGCAGTCATATTCAGAGGCAATATTCGCAACCCTTGAGGGTACCCTTAGAGTTTCTAACTACATGATGGAGATCTTCAAAAACTTTGAATGATTCAAAATCTATTTTTTTGAAAATTTTTTGAAAAAAAAAACAAATAAAAAAGGGTAAATGAAAAACAAAACAAATAAAATTTGAAAAAAAAAACACATAAAAAAGGTCATACCTCGATAACCATAAAGATTTGAGCAGTCATTTTCAGAAGCAATTTTCTCAACCCTTGAGGGTACCCTTAGAGTTTCTAACTACATGATGAAGATCTTCAAAAAAGTTGAATGATTTCAAATCTATTTTTTTGAAAATTTTTTGAAAAAAAAAACGCATAAAAAACGTCATATCTCGAAAACTGAAAAGATTTGAGCAGTCATATTTAGAGGAAAGAATCGCAATCCCTGAGAATGCCCTGACAGCACCCAACTACAGGTTTGAGAATGTCAAATTTTGTAAAATATTTCAAATTCAAGTTTGCTAATTTCAAAATTGATGAAAAAATCCTTGACATCAAACTGGAAAATTAAAAAAAAAACTCTTAACCATTGCAATTTACGATATAGCTTCAACGTGAAACAATTCTTTCGTTAAACATGCAAAAAAATACTTTTAAAAAGCTTAAACATGGCGAGATAGTGAAGCCCGCATTTAAATATATATTAGATAGATTCTGAAATTTTCACCGTTTTGTGCGATCCGGACGAAAGCATACAAATATGGTTCCCTCGAAAGACCCAAAATTAAGTTAAAAAGCCGATTAAGTATAAGACGAAATAATTTAGGTCAAAAAAATTTTGAGAAAAGAAAAAAAAACAGAAGAGCATATACGAAGTCGAGGCGGCTAGTAGAATAGCAAATTTCAGAAGTAAATGAAAACATAGCATAAAAAGCAAGTACAATGAAAACTGCAAACGGTAAAACATTTTTGAAATGGGCAACTAAGCTGAAAAAAACGTAGGCAGACAAATGATGAGCCGATATTTTTGAAACGGAATATTTGACGTTTGAAAAAAATCAGGTCCTGGTCAGATTCGAACCCAGGACTTTTGCCGTCCCCGGCGTATTCGTTACCTCCAGAATAAAAGTACCGGAGACGCATAAAATTTTGAATTCATTTTGAACCAAGATACGAAGTGATTTCTCTTGAACAAGTCATTAACCTGAAAAAAAGTCGTTATTCCGATTAAATAACGCTTGCTAATCGCAAGCTTAATAAAAAATTTCAAGACGCAGAAAACTCAAAATTGAGCTTGAACAGTTTCTAAAATAAATGATAGTTTTTATTCTGAAAACTACACCGACTGTATGTATGCCAAAACAATAACGATAAAAATTAAGAGATGAGCAAATAAGCAAAATCTTTTCGAAAACTTCAAACTTAGTCCTGAGAAAACTTCGTATTGAAACCAGGAAAAAAACAAATTGAAAACATCCGACTATGAAGACAGCGCTTTGTTAATTGAAAACTGCTGAAAAACTACTAGAAAATGAAGGGATCTGGCCTTTGCGCTAATTAAGCTATACTAATTCCAAAGTTGATTTCCATCGAATTAAGTTGTACAAAGAAGCGAAGCTGAGCTTCGCACCACTTCCAATACGACGAAAGCATAGCATTACTCGCTAACGAACAGAAAATGAGACAGAAACCAATGAGTCCAAAAAAATAATTGATAAAAAATTCAATTCCAGAAAAAAAAATTTTGATAATTTTTTTGATCAAATTAAAAATTCAATTCCAGACAGACATCCAAAAACCACAACCAGAGCTAAATTAGCTTTTTGTAACCTTAAGCGAGCATTCGCTGAGCCAAAAAAAGCTTGGCAGGGCGCGCACTGATCGGAAACCAGCGAAAATGCCAAAAACAAATATTTGGCAGCGACTAAATTTAAGCTTTTACACCGCAACTTTCCTGAATTATTTTTAAAAATTAAATAACTTTTGCTTTCCAAAGGAGACAAAACAAATTGCATATAATCTGCAAATAAAAAGCGACACAAAATAAAAGCCGATAAAACAATCCGAAGCCATTGGAGAAAAAATAAATAAAAATGAAAAAAATATATTCCGAATCCGAGCTGGTAAATTGATAAAACCACAAGACGACTGACACAGCATGGCAATAATTCTCCTCAGTAAGTCAGCATTTCCGAATTACCCCAAATCTTTCAGTAACTCATACGAGGTCGTCAATTCCTTTTCGATATATATTTCTTCACTAGTTTCCTCCCTTTTTTCGTTTCTAGGAAAAATTTCCTTTGCAGCGATTTTGCCTTTTGGTACAGCAATTTTGCCGGGAAAAACGGCTTCGTTGACCATTTTTACAAGTTCACCTATATCGTTCAAAATATGAAGCGATTCCTGGAAATTAGCTTTCTGAAAACAGACATCAGCAGACACAGAACTTGACTAAATCTTTCGACCTGTTTTTCCAAAAATTTGCCTGAAGCGCACAATTTTTTGTCAAAATAGGGTTTTATAGTGTTCTGGGAGCGCTCGGAAATCAATTTCGTCGAACTAAAAAAAGTCGACAAAAGTTTTTTTGTAAATCCGCCGCCCCCCACCCCTCAAGAAAATCCTATATCCGCCCCTGGCCTTTTTAAATATATCACTAGCCAAATTCGTATATGAAGAAGCCAACTCGTTCTAATCGCTTTCACCAGCTCCACACAATTAGATTAGCTCCTTCGAGAACATTTGATTACAATAGCCGAAAATCACTTCACTATCTCTAAGAAAATCAGCCCATTTAACCTTCTGGTTCAATACTGCTAAATGATACAATGGTTACTCTTCCATTTTTCTATTCAGACTGAGATCATTATCAAAATATGAGGCCAATTTTATATAGAACCCATTTGTAAGTTAGTTTTATCCGAAGAAAAATACACTCTTTCCTATGCTTTTTTGAACGATGAAAAATGAACTGACAAAAATAAGCAGAAACAAAAACCCAACAATTCAATTTTCCCGGAAAAATCAATTGCATACATATTTAAAAAAAAAAAACTAAGGGCCGACCACGACTCAAACCCCAGATCTTAGGGTTCAAAGGCAACCATGTTACCACTACACCAATTGGACAGGGGCATGCAATTTGTTAAGGCTCAATAAAAACCCCAACTTAAATTTCGTACAGATAGCAATTATTCATAGAATTGCGCAAATAGCAATACAACATTACCACAGCCGCTAGAAGTGTGCGAGTCGAATTTCGCTTATGCCAATTCTCATTCTTGAAGATTAAATTGAAAAATCAAGATCGAAATTGAAACTTAATCAAATAATCATTTTATGAAGAAGTAGAATATGCAAAAATGACAACGTAATCAAAATAATAGGTAGTTCTATTCAGAGGTACCAGCAACATTATTAGCAAAAACACTGAAAATTTCAGCTCTTGGTTTGCATTCAAATTACAGCGAACGACGATTAAGTAGGAAAATCAATGCGAGTTTTCGTGATCGCCGTTCACCGGAATTTTTACTTCAATCCTCTCTCCACTATTGTTAGACGAGTGTCGCCTCCTCCCTTTCTTCTCGCGTGATCTACTTCGACTTGATTTACGCGACTTTTTGGAAACCTCTTTTTTAGATTTGTGTTCCCTGCTTTTAGATCTCGTTCTTTTCCTCTCCCGGCTGTGCCGACGCGATTTCTCCTTATTTCTGCTCCGCGATCTGTCTCGTCGACTTTTATCTTTACTTTCCTGTTTGCGTTTGCTACTGCGAGATCTAGAGCGACTTCTGTGGTTACTCTTCTTGGACCGTTCACTTCCTGGAATTTCGTCTGGCTGAATATTTCGTTTTTCTGACTCTTTCTGCAACATTTCGGAGTAGTCGTTCGCATCTGGATTCTTTGTCTTGCGAGACCTTGAACTAGTTCCACTACTATTACTGCGCCGTCTTCTCCGAGCAGCTGGGGATCGACTGCGACTTCGTTTGCGAGGAGCCCGTTCACTTGAGTTGGACTCCCGGATACCGTAAAGTTCCTCGCGGAACTCGGCAATTGCAGATCTGACTTTTGCGAACCCGGTGTGTTGCTTTCCTTTCAAATGATCATCAACCCTGCTGGGAGCATCACCCACGATTAGAAATGCACCACAAATCGCACATACCTCCATTTGTTTTTCATTTGGGTTATCCATTTGTATATGGGATTGCAAATTATCCTTATCTTTTCTCAATTGGTCAATTTCTCTCATCATACCTTGTGCTTCTTCTACTTTACCTTCGCCTCCTAATGTTTCAACTTTCTCCAACAATGCCGAAATTTTGCTTTCAATAATTTGAAGACTAGAAGTTTTTGGATTGCCGAGATTCTGGTTCGGAGCTTGCGCTAATCGCTGGTTTGCACGTTTAATTCGCCTCTCGCAATCACTTTGTATTGTCTGTAGAAACCGGAGGAAATCCTCCTCGTAACCCATTTTCCGAAAGCGCGAAGACTTTTTATACATTTCTACTAATGCATCGTCATGTATTTTGGCACACGCGCCTAAATCCATTTTGGTATTCGTAAAAAGATCGTGAGGACAAAACCCGCATATATAAAACTTGCAAACCTCAGAATCCTCGAAACCTTTCTGTCGACTACCCTCCTCAGGAAGTAGATCACGATCTTTTCCCATGAGCTCATCGAGCATTTGTGCCATGAAACCAGTAGCCATTTTGCCGTCAAAATTGTCTCATGAAATCTTTAATGAACCAAGAAGTATCAAAACGTCTATCAACATCTTTTTTCTATTTTCAATGAATACAAACAAAGCTAACACCCACAGGTCTTTATCTAGATATCAAGACAGCAAAATACTGAGCAATCAAATATTTTGCGAAAAATTCCGACGTAAAATATTTGGAAGATCTTGCATGCTTTTCGTAATGAAACCTACATGAGAAAAATATCGGAATATGTAACACAAATGAAACGAAACAAAGATAGCCAGTTACTGTGCAATTACCGCAGACTGTTCCGACAAAAAATCCAAATGATTTTTTTTGAGCTTTTGAATATGCAAAATTTTGATCCCACAATAGCACTAAAATTAAAACTAGGCACAAATAATCTTTTGTAGACGGCTTAATTTAGGCATAAATAAGCTTGCTCGCTCGCTCACTTAAATCTCGAAACTTTTGAGTGTAACATTCGCCCGGGCGTACCTATCGACGGAAAATAAGGCTAAGCTATAAAACGACTGGCCAGCGTCTAAACTAAGCTCTACATGCTTTTCACCGTCTCTACCAAAGCCAGTTCTTTTGGTGGTCTTTCTAACATCGGGTCGACAAAAACGTTACTGCTTTCCGCTTCGGTCAAAACACTCAAATTAACTTAACCTCATGCAAAATTAGTGAGCTCATGGCTGGGTCTCAGTATCCCCAGACCACGAGGTCACTCCTAAAAACAGGGCTACTACTACTTATTAAATTACGATTGTTTTTGTTCAGTAGATAAAAATCATCATCTCCTTCGAAGATGGATCAACCCTTTCCCCCAACTCCTAGCTTCTCATCCTTGCAAAATGAATTCAAATGTTAATTGACTTCATTTCAAGACATAACCGGGAAGCTAGAAATTTATAAAAAAAGAATTTCAGTTCAACTCCCGAGACCCCTCCGGATTCCTGAATCCGGGGAAATAACGTCCTTATCTTCCTTCCGGAAGGCTGTCTTCTATCCTTCACCGTTGTTGTGAACGGCCTTGCAACTATTGTAGCGACACAATAGTTGCAACTCGCAGCGGTCTGTGCTAACTCTGCAATTCGTTGTTGTTTTTCAATCACAATTCTCGTAGTTATCGCTATCGCAACTATTGTTGTTCTGATTTTTATTCTGATTTTTTTCCAAAATGGCCGTTTTTGACGCTTCTCAGAGTTATTACGTCATCACTTCGAATTTTTAAAATTTCAAAAAACCAGAATATCTTGACCTTCACCGTTTGACTAATTGTCCCAATAACGTTGTTAATCTCTTAAAACCGTCAATTCGGAAGGTTAGCTGCTAAAATTTCGAATCCATCCAATCTGCAGTTTTGTCCATTCTGGTCGATTGTCACATACTACCCGGACAGCCCGGTCAATGTCCCCATTGAATCTCGCAATGTTCGTAAAATTGGTACAGTGTCATCGAACAGAATTTACAAAATGCACGAAATTACTTTTATCCGCGTTATATCGACTCACTGCAGAATATAAATGGCATCATACTACACTACTCTAGCCTTCTAAATTTATTCACTAATCTGCACTTTGAGGATATGACTTAAGATAAAACATTTTTTCTGACTTCCAAAGTCAATGCCTTGATTTAAAACTTTTTCTCCTAGGTTTTAAAAGGTGTTAGTTTGCAGGACAGTCCTGCCAACCAACAAGCTAAAATTATCCTACTATGCTTCTTCCCTTCGGAAATTTTAGTTGTTATTGTCCTGAATAATAAAATTAAGGAATTCTGTGGTTAGAAAGAACAATGAAACAATCTCCCTCTTCAAGAGATTATCCAAGTCTTTCATGTCACCACAAAGTGATCAGTTTTCCTAGTTGATTAAAAACAATCATGCAGGCTGGAATATTTAAATATACTCTTTGCTCAATCCTTTCTAAATGAATAGTAAGTGTCTCTAAAGCCACTAACTAAAATCAAAATGCAAATTTATAAATTCAACAAATTCTTTAATGTTCAAAACTCAACTAAATGTTTCAGTTTTCAATTACAACTTGGTTGCTTAGTTTCTCACTTGACTTCTCGTCACATACATAAAACAATTCTAAGTTTTAATTTCTTCTCTTTTGTCACTTCTTTGTTTCTTCTTTTTTCGTCGTTTAGAAGTTCTAAACCTTCTAAATTCTTCTAATTTTCTTTCTTTTTGCATCTTATTTTTCGGCCATTTGTCAATGCTCCATCTCCTCCTCCTGCGACATTGACTCTGCACTTTCAGTTTCTGTGTCTTGCAACACATCGTTAGCTATACTGACGCTGTTGGAAGCAGTCCTCCAACACTTCTGCTCTTCTACCCTCTGTTTACAACAAGGTAGGGGATCTACATTAGATTCTCTGTTTCTGCAGAAGCTATTGTGAAGGCACAACGTCACGTTTCTCTCCAAATCTTCCTTCAACATCTCTTCTTTCTCCCTTCCATCACGTTCACTTGTCCTGGAAATTCTCTTCACAGCGGTGATCACTGCATTCCGATGAGTCACAAAAGCTCGCTTGAAAGCTCCTGCCCCAATGTCCAACTGATACCCACTGTACACTCTGCCGTGCTTCGACATATGCTTACTGGCATATTCGTACAACCAAGCAGTCATGTTGGCTCTAAGCCATGGCATCAGTCGTCTTCTTGCCCATATCTTTCGGAATGTTCAGAATCTTGCACATAGTCTCAGAAAGATCTAAATCTTTTAGACAATCCAATTTCTGCAATTGTTCTCTCGTTGGCGCCTCCTGTCTATTGTTCTCTCTCACATGAGCCTCCAGCCACCTTATCGCCATCATAACTCCCACTATCACTTTTGTTATGGGCCGTGATGAGTCTGGTAAATCCATGAAGAGCAGCTCTCCAGAGTCCCAGATCAACACCAGATTACTACGCTCGGGATACCACCAGGTCTGCAGCAAGCAGTGGCAGGGAAACTCGTCATGTGTCAACATGATGCTCCTCCAACTACGCTTTCTCGAAGCTTCCAGTAATGGTTCCATTTCCATCATCACTCGGCGGACTTCATCATTCTTGTCTACTGTTTTGTAATCTGTAACGGTTGATCTTCTCTGTTTCTGTCATTCAAAGTCACTGAAGTTCCCACTCACGTATCCCATGAACTTCCTTCCCAGTATCGATTCCAACTCCTCCTTTGTTCTCTCTGGAACTGCTGAGAACATTTTACACAGTAACTCGTAAGATTTTTCCGACATTCTCGTTAGTCCCACACACTTTGGCACTGAGAAGGCTTGATCCACGATCATTCTCGTACTCTTTACATCCACAGCTACGAATTGCACCGGGTATCTGCTCTTGCACAATGGAGCTAATGTCGACCCCACCAAATATCGTGCTCCTGATGGTCTACGATAAGTTTCACTGTGTCGGATGTTCATTTCCGCCTCGATCGCTTCCCTCCATTTTCCTATGTGCTTTTGCTCAGTTTGAAAAACTCCTGGGAACACTTCTACACTGATTGATGGCTTTGACCATCTCATGTTTCTGTTCCAGATTCAATAGTGACTCTAAAGAACCAAACATGCTGTAGAATCCTAGTGCAGTCACTAGATTCACCTCGGTTCCTCCATGGCAATCTGCGACCAGTTCCGTTTCCGTCCTTGCTTTCATCACAACGTTCCCAAACAATATCGTCAACTGCTTGTGTTGTCTCTCTAGGGTTTTCACGCAATCCAGACTTCCACAAACGTGACCTTCCAGTCCACAGACTTCTGCCAGACAACTACCAGGTTTGACTCAGTCTTCCGGTCCCCAGCCAGGCAACTCCACTCGGTCTTCCCGTTGCTCCTAGAGGCTGTTGTCATCACACTATATATGATGTTAAGGTCACGCAGGTTACAGTCTGCATTTAGTTCCCTCTGTACGTCTTGTGTCGCCCGTAGTATCGAGTCAGCATTGGGACTAGGACACCATGATGGTCTCATCAGTTCCCACACTACCATCAAGCTCGTTCTCAGTAATTCATCTGAGAATCCCAATCCAAACTCCACTCTTTTGTCGGATTTTGGTACGGAAGGTGCAGTCACCTCTTCTTCCAAGACCAGTCCCAATTTGATCTGCGGATTATTAGCGCTTTTAATCGTTGCAATTCTCGACGTCCAGAACCTTAGCAACACTGCTTATTCGTAATCAAAGAAGCAATCGCGTATGTCTTCACTCAGGAAAGGGTTTCGCACTATCCCTATGACTCCGGACACGTAACCGTATGACTTCTTTCTGATTGGTCCACAGTATTCATTAGATTTCGGCAGTGTTCCCATGGATTCCTTAGTGAGCCTCAGTTCTTTGTTCGAAAATCTCCTGATTTCGTCTATTTTCCTCATGGGTTCTAGCTCCTCGGGTTCTTTCATGTTCACCCTCATCGGCTTGCTTTGATGCATATCTAGCAGTGCTAGCAAGAGTAAGGCTTTCACTCGTTCATCGCCCTCCCTCAGCATCTTGACACAGGTGTTCAATGCTGGCACTGAAATCTGCTGCATCAGGAATCGAATGAAACAGAGATCGTCTCTCCGCTTCGCGCACGCTACTGCTGCTCCCTCTTGTGTTATCAGATCCCTCAAATGCGTCATCAGGACTACCTTCTCTTGTTTTGACCTTTTCCTTTCTTCTGAGTCATATTCCCCGCGAGTCAATCCCATCATGCACCAGGCGAACCTCAGTTGTAATTCGGTTCTCACGTAAGGTACTGCCATGAGAGCGTGTATTCTCGGCGTAGTCCTCATTTCCTCTTCAAAGTACCTCAACGCCACTGTTTTCCATGGAAGGCTCACTAATTGCTCAATCGTTTCCGCCTGCATCTCAGACGACGCTAGAGTCCCGTACGCCTTGGTGGTGCCTTGCAACATTGTCTCCAGATAACCTTCCATGGCACTCTTGTCTTCCAGAGCCATCACATATCCTCCAGCCGAGTTTCGGTACTCCAACATCTCCATGTATCCACCGGCGGGTTCATCTATTGACACAGTCTCCGACATTGTCAGTCGGT